ATGAAGAGCATCAATCCGAATCAAAGCAAATTATGATTCATTGGATTAATTTATTTATATCATCAGGAAGTCTTATAGGCATTCAACAACATTCTTGTTTTTTAACACCAAAAAAGTGATAATCAACAGACCTAATGTGCTCACTCACCTAAAGTAGTAAATTATTTTTTATCCAATTTTCTTTTCCTTCTAGGCTCTTTATGATTTCGTGTTAAACTTCTTTATTGATCTTTCTTTCTGGAAAATTTCATAGGTAATTTTCTCTTTCCTTAAATAATTTTCAAGCATCTTGATTTTAAAAACATAAGGTGCAATCTTTTCTCCTTATTCTTTTTTTTTGTGATTCTTGGGTTCCATGGATTGTGTATTTTAGATTTTAAACAAGGTAAAAAAACTCTTCGTTCATAAATTAAGTAATAATTCACAATTTATTACTAAACGGGAAAAGGCGTTGAAGATGAATTGGGAAAACTAAATCAATTTTTCACGTGGTACAAATTTTATCCAAATTTGGGTAATTTTCATTTTAAAAATTTTTTTATATAATCATTCCATTCATTTAATAAAATGTACAAGACTTCAAGATCATTCATTTTATTCGTTATAAGGTATAAAAAAATTAGTTAACTATTGATGTTTGTCTCTTTTTTTTTACTCAGGGCAAAATCATTAATTTAACAACAATTACGCGTTATTTCAGTTTTTTATGTTTTTTATTAACTGCAACAGCGTCTACTGAACTTTATGCGATAGAAGGTAGATTTGCTTTAAACCAAGTTGTAAGAGGTGATATATTAAATTTTTTTTGTGTTTAATACCTACTACCATTGTTGTGTAAATGATTTGTTCAATTGTTTTAATTTCAAATCTTTCATTTTCAAAGACATTTCACAACTTGAACCAACAACAAAAGTTATATTAGATGGTGGAAAATATTCAACCTTGATTAGAAAAAATGGAAAATTTATAATGTAAAATATTTATTTATAATTTTCTATATATATATAATATAGTTTTTGTAATAAGTTCAATTCAATTAATTTAATTAAAAATTTTTTATAAAGAAATGATATTCCACCAGGTTCTTACCTATTAGAAGTTTTATCAAGGAAATTCATTTATCCAAAGGTTTTTTTTTTGGTTTTTCACTGATATATTATTTTATTATCATATTATCATATTAATTAGTACTATTTTTTTTTAAAAAAGTTAAGAATTGATGTGAGTTCAACAGGTATAAAACCAACAGTAATAATTACAGGTAGTGAATGGAATAGTAATTCTCCAAAATTGCAGTATCCATTAGAATTATATGCAAGAGCTCGATCTGAATATTTTACGGTATAAAAAATTTTTTCCTTATTAATCAATTTAAAAAGAAAAGGTTCACTTTTTTTTTGCTATTTACTAACAAGTAAAAAAAAAATCTTTTTATTTATATATATATATATATATAAAGGTGAAAGAAGGATTTAGTATTATTAGTGTTTTTGCAAATCCATATATAATAATGTTAGGATTTAGTGTATTGATGTTGTTTAT